GAAGGTCCACTCTCATCTCATTTATGTCAGACGCGCAAAACTGCTAATGAATGACAGAATTTACTGAGTGCTCTCCGCTTATATCCCTATGCTCAAATTTTACTAGTCTTCAAGGCCCAACTCCATCCCCTTCACAGTCTTCCATGATTCTCCCATGTGGCCATTATTTGTTCCTCCTCTGAATTCCAGTCATCTCACAAACATCATCCTCTTAGATGTGAGTCACTGTATCTCTTTTCAAGAAATGTTTCCTTTACTTTTTGTAAATAATCATTTACATATTTTATCTTTTTTCCTAGATTCTTTCGAAGTAGGGGTTATGTTTGACTTAGCTTTTTATCTCCACAGTGACTAGCATTTAACCTTTTGTGGAAAGTCAATTAGAAAAGAAGAAAACTTTAAGCCTTCACAGCAATGGATGTTTTCTTCTTTTAAAAGTGAGTGGGGATCTCTTGGGTCCTCTCTTCCAAGATGACCAAGGAAAGAAGCAACAACGGTCATGACAAAAAGGGCCACAGCCATGTGCAGTCTTTTCACTGTACCAACTTTGCTTAAATGTGTGTCCAAGGACAAGGCCAATAGGAAGTTCAGCATTCAAAACACAGTTGGGGCCTCAGCCACAGCCACTATGGCCATTTCCAAAGCGAGTGTCCTCATACCTAAGCATTTCCTAAGCTGTATGTGAAACTCCATCACTGTGAGCTGTGCCACTCACTGTAAAGTGGTCAGAAATCCTCTCCCTGAAGCCCGGAAGGACTGAACACCCCTACCCTAATTTAGACCTTTGGGTGCTATCCCATGACCTCCACCAAAGGACCGAAGATCTACTCTCTGGGGGAAAAATAAATATTTTTTTAAAAAAGGTGAATGGGTATGTTCTAAATTTAGTATATATGCTTATTTTTTATAATTTAGAAATACGAAAGACTTCTTAAATTAACTGCTATTAAAATAAATTATGTTGGTGCAACCACTGTGGAGAACAGAATGGAGTTTCCTCAAAAAACTAAAAATGGAACTCCCGTTTGACCCAGTGATCCCACTTCTAGGAATATATTCCAAGAAACTAAAAACATCAATCAAAAAGGATATATGCACTCCTATGTTCATAGCAGCACAATTCACCATAGCTAAGATTTGGAAACAGCCTAAGTGCCCATCAGCAGATGAGTGAATTAAAAAACTGTGGTACATCTACACAATGGAATACTATGCTGCTATATAAAAAAAAAAAAAGAAGGAACTTTTACCATTTGCAACAGCATGAATGGAGATGGAGAACATTATGCTAAGCGAAATAAGCCAGGCAGAGAAAGATAAATATCACATGATCTCACTCATTTGTGGAATATAATGAACAACATAAACTGATGGGGGGGAACATAGATCCAGAGACAGAGAAACATCAATCAGAATGTCAAACCTCAGGGAAGAAATTGTGAGGTAACTAGAAATCCAAGAATGCCTGAGAACGCCATTCTAGCCAAGCTAGCAATCATCAGATATACGGTAATATTACCTGGTGCAAATGGGAAAGTATTTTGGACTTACGCTCATGACCCTTCACGGGTAAGACCCTTTACGTGGGCTAACTCCCCCCTAATGTAGTCACCAATAATACCAAATACCTTGGTCATTCAGAAGGACCATGGGAGGGGCAAGGAGTCTCCACCCTGCTTCCCTTTTGTATGACAAAATCAAAACACTGCCCCTTTGTGTGTAAAATTAGAGAGGTTTATGGCTTGTGTGGAAACCAAAGAAAGGATGTCACTACTATCACTAATTGCCCCTGGGAGAGGTGCAGAAAATGTAACTAATACCTTGTCTATACAAAAAGAAATGGTCAGCCAGTTTGTAATGGAATTGTCATGGCCTAGAGCAGTGTTTCCCAAAGTACCCCCAGGAGTATGGGAAGAGTTTGGTGGGGGTACGAGTTGCACCCGAGTTTGGTGGGGATATGCACTGCACGGTGCTTAGCTGCGCCTAATTCTACGTTCTCATGAGTACGAGGGGTACTCAGCGTTATGAAAATTATAGAAGGGGTACACATATGTCAAAAGTTTGGGAAACACTGGCCTAGAGCAAAGAATATTCTTGCATGATATTATTTTACAATGTCATTAAAATTTTTCCTAGATTTGTGTTATCCCCATTACTTATAATAGTACCTCGAACCCTTGGGAACCAATAAAAAAAAATCATCTTTTTGGTGCTTGGAGACAAAGGTAAAACATCTCTTGATATTCTAGAATTATAACAGCATAATATACAATTATCCCAAGCAAACTTACGAATTAATTCTTTGAATGTCCGGCAGCAGTTTAAAAAAGATATGAAAGGATTTAATCCCTTTCATTGTGTAAAGGGCCTCCTGGGAAGGCAACTGAGCATTTTATATTGCCCCCTCTTGCCCTTTTGGCCAAGAGGGACCCTCTTCTCACAGTCCAGTTGCGCACAGCTATTGCCTGAGCTTTCTGTTCATGTTGAGTTTGAAGCCTCATGATGACTGGTACCATGGATCCGTCTCTCGCCCACTGGGTCGAGCTGGGCCCTCCCTGGAGAAGAAACCTGGGTTCCCCAAGATATGTGATCAGTGCTGGGGCCCCTCAACAGGTGAGGGGATCCCAAGGCAAGAGCTGGGTGTGGAGGCCACAGGGGCATAGGCTACCAAGGAGACAGAACTGAACCTCCCATCACCCTGCTTGGCCCCGGAGGTTAGCTAGAAACGGGTAAGCTTCCTCAGGGAAGGAACAACGTAAGACAGGCACAGTCGAAGAGGGGCCATCAGGAAAGAACTTGGGGGTCAACAGAGGTGGAGCACAGACCCTCCCCCCCCCAACTTTCTGAACCCTCACCTCTGCTGAGGGAAGTCTCCTACCCTCATGGCTGCTTAACTTCCTATGCCCAGCTCAAATTGGGACCCGGGTAACAGACAGAGACTTGGCCAACAGCAGTTTCCTCTCACTACAACAAGAACTTGTTTGAGTTGTCTTGTACCCATGATGTGGGGAAGTGGGTTTTTTATATTTAAATCCAAGTTACCACCAGGAATGCTCAGGGCCTACTCAAGAAGGCAAATAATCCTTTCCACTAATATTTACAGGCTAAATAAGATTGTTGTTAGAGTAATAAATTTGACAGTAAAATAGTAGACAAGTTTTCAGGCTAATTTAAATTGGCTAGTTGAAATAAGCAAATACCCTAGAAAAATTAATTGTACTGGACAAAAAGCTATTCCTAAAGTGTTAACTAAAATTTTTATTGGTAGTTCATCTCATGATAAAATTGAACAACATGTAATGAACCTAAAGCAGTCATATTATAGTGCAAAAAATTAAAATTTAAAAGCTATCAAAACTACATTAAAATTTTTCAAAAGCCTCCTAATATTTAAATTAAAAAAGGGAGTTAAGTAGAATATCATGTAAGGAAAAATATCCTGTAAGTAAATTACATCTAGAAAATTTGTACTTTAGAAAATTAATTGTAATGCTAAGAGCAAGACACCCATGAAAAACACACATGGTGTCAAAACAAGTCAGAGGAAAATCATTTGGGCCAAAAATGTAAAAGGGTCCCAAGTCAAATTTATAGAAAATATTCCTTTATTAACTTTTGGTCGAGAATACATTTGTATATTTTCAGAAAACAACTCTGAGACCATGTGGATTCCGGCAATAGAGAGGAATTGACAGGACTACTCCAACCATGAAGACAGAAGAGAAGCAGTCCAGAGATGGAAGACGCTGACGATGCCTTGCCACAATAGCAGTCAGCAGCTGTGCGTCACTGCAGGTTGCCCAGAACCAAACCAGAGAGGGTCGGACCTGCAGTACCACCATTTGTCCACCATCCAGAAATGAAATACCATTGCTAACATATACACATAAGGAACTGTTTGACATTGAAATTGGGTCTCAAAAGAACTGTTGGCCCAGAAAAAAACTCACTACAGACTGATTCATTTGTCTTTCAGCATAACCATTATGGCTTGTCTCATTTTGCTTCTTATAAGTATATTTCCAGTAGGATATGATCTGGGGGAAATGATGAACAACATAGATTGATGAACAAGAACAGACCCACAGACAAGGAGGCATGGATCAGACTGTTGGACCTCAGGGGGAGAGTGGGGATAAAAGGGAGAGATCAACCAAAGGGCTTGTGTGCATACATATGAGCTTAACCTGTGGTCAAGGACAACAGGGGGGTGGGGGCATGAGTGGAAAGGAATGGGGGATGGGAATGGGGAGATGAGGACAAATATGTGATATCTTAATCAATAAATAAAATTTAAAAATAAAATAAATTGTTGATGAACCACTTTTTCATTATAGTGGGATACAATTGGATTGTAACTTTATAACTATCTAGCTACCAAGATCATATTTTCATTTTTTTCTAACATATTTTCCTGTTTTATCTGCCTTTATTTTTTCCAACTTTATTGAGACATAATTGACACATAACATTGTGTAAGTTTAAGATATATAATTTGTTTTGATACACTTATATACTGCAAAATGATTAACACCATTCATTAGCTAACACCTCCATTAAGTTACATAATTACCATTTCTTTTCAGTGATGTCTTTATCTTTAAATGCCATCTAAAGTAAACTATGAGTGCTGTTTCCCTAAGCACCCCTTAATCATGATTGTTGTAAATGGCTATTGGTATAAGGATGGTGGTAGCAGATGCAACAATATAAGTAAGTTTCATTCACTATGAAAAATTGCACATATCTTTTGATTTTACATGTTGAAATAAATTAATCTGATTAGTCTTAACAGAAATCTGATGGGATATTATGTAAAATTTCAAAACCTAAAAATTCAAATTCAATTCTATACTTTGTGGGTAAATAATACTGCCACAATGCAACTGTGTAGCCATTTTAATAAGCAATTTTTTTGTAAGCTGACAATTTATAAAACTTGTTAATATAATGTTATTATGTTTAAAAATGATAGCAAAACAACAAAAAGTTTTTCTTACCAAGATATTAAGCTCTTCATTTAGACTGTGGTATTTATCCAGTTTGGCTCCCATTAAGGTAGGATCTCTGACATTCTTGGTTTCATTTGAATCAAAGTCTGTAACCTGAGATTAAATATTTGTGCTCACTTCCAATACTTTCACACTCCTTTGAGCATTTGAAAATAAATACTTTATTAGGGAAACAAAGAGATTTTTAGTGGCTAGAATAAAAAAAGCAAGTATAGAACTTAGAGCTAGAAGGACTTAAACAAATTTACCAAGAGAATATACATATGTGAAATTGTATTTTTATATGGTAAAGACAGTACATAGTAAATGTTAAACTCACGTTAATAACCTGATCTTGAAATGCTTTTTCATTAGCAATTAAGTCTCTAAAAGTTGCAATTCTTTCTTTATGTTTCTGTAGCTAAGAAAAAAAAGCATTTTATATTTCAGAGAATGAGAAGAAATGATTCTATAACATCCTATCTAATAAAAGAGTAATATGCAAATCAACCATCACTCCACTATACCTATAAGCCATGCCCACCAGCCAGTCAGGAGTGAGTATGCAAATTAACCCAACCAAGACGGCTGTGGCCCGGGAGGCTTGGGTTCCACACACTCTGGCCTGCCTTGGCTTACACGCAAGGCTACAAAGTTTCAATTATAGAAGATAAATAAATCCCAGATACCAGGACCTCCGCTTGGGTTGCTGGCCTGAAAACCACCACAGGCACCTCACCCAGGCCGCCTCAAGCCCCAAGGGAACCCCCACCCTCATCCAGAACACCCTTCAGGGCAAACCAGCTGGCCCTATCCGTGCACCAGTTCTCTAACCTATCTAGTAAAAGAGTAATATGCAGATTGACCATCACGCCAACACACAAGATGGCTACCCCCATGGGGTCAAAATGGCTGCTCCCATATAAACACAAGATGGCCACCACAAGATGTCCAGCAGAGGACATCCCGGGAGGCTTGGGTTCCACACACTCTGGCCTGCCTTGGCTTACACTCAAGGCTACAAAGTTTCAATTATAGAAGATAAATCCCAGATACCAGGACCTCCGCTTGGGTTGCTGGCCTGAAAACCACCACAGGCACCTCACCCAGGAAGGGACCAGGCCTGCAAGGGAGGGCAGTTATGAGCAATCAGGCCAGCAGGGGAGGGCAGTTGGGAGGGACCAGGCCTGCAAGGGAGGGCAGTTGGGGGTGATCAAGCCTGCAGGGGAAAGCAATTAGAGATGACCAGGCCAGCAGAAGAGGGAAGTTAGGCATCAATCAGACTGGCAGGGGAGTGGTTGGGGATGATCAGGATGGCAGGCAGAAGCAGTTAGGGGCAATCAGAAAGGCAGGCATGTGAGCAGTTGGGAGCCAGCAGTCCTGGATTGTGAGAGGGATCCCAGATTGGAGAGAGTGCAGGTTGGGCTGAAGGACACACACATCCCCCGTGCATGAATGTCATGCACTGGGCCTCTAGTCTATATATATAAAAGGCTAAGCAACCAGCTGACTGGCCAACTGGCAGACTGGCTGGTAGGCATGATGCTCACTGACCACCAGGGAGCAGATGCTCAACACAGGACATGCCAAATGACAGCAACTTTGTAGAGTACCATCTCCCACTCTGGCATCCCTCAAGGGATGTTGGAGAGCTGGTTTTGGCCTGATTCCCACAAACCAGGCCAAGGGACTCCACCTGCTGGAGAGACCCCGCTCACTCCACAGATGCCCTTTGAGCTGAGGCACTGCCCCAGGTGCAGCTGGCCGGGGAGGGACCATGAGAGGTTGGCTCCAGGGTGTGTCCCACCTGTCTTGCCCTGTCCCACTCCCTCCACCCCCCCGGCCATCTTCTAATTAATTTCCTTTCAATGTGCACAAATCTGTGCACTGGGCCTCTAGTCCTATATAATAAAATCCTAATATGCAAATCGACCAAATGATGGAATGAACAGCAGAACAACCGGACACTATGATGTGCACTGAGCACCAGGGGGCAGACATTCAATGCAGGAGCTGTCCCTTGGTGGTCAGTGCGCTCCTACAGGGACAATGCTGTTCAGCCAGAAGCCAGGCTTACGACTGGCAATCGCAGCGGCGGTGGGGGGGCCTCTCCTGCCTCCATTATAGTGCTAAGGAGCAGCAAGCTGAGTGATAAGGTGCAGCAAGCAGGCAGACTGCAAGAGGGCACAGGCCAGGCTGAGGGACGCCCCTCCTCCAGTGCACAAATTTTGTGCCCCAGGCCTCTAGTTTATAATAAAAACATAAAACCATGTACAGTCCAATTCCTAGTCTCAAAAAGAGACGCTGTTTTTACAGAAGGAAGTTCACATGCAGGCCTGAGACTGCTATCTTTAGAAAAGCCTGCTAGCCAAGCTGCCCCTGACTGTACCTAGGAACTTGGATTGTCGGAGGGTTTCCATCATTCTCTGATATGAATGGCTCATTGTGCCTAACAAAGAATGTGGTTTATGCTGAATAATTCTTTCCATCTGGAGGATCTGTAATTTTGGTATGTTCTAGGCAGAAGGTGCCTTTGGGAAGAACCTCCAGTAAAAACACTGAGCACTAGGTCTCAAATGAGCTTTCTTGGTAGACAACATTTTACATATGTTGTCACACCTCACTGCTGGAGGAATGAAGCACATCCTGTGAGACTTCATGGGGAGAGGACTCGTGAAAGCTTGCATTTGGTTTCCTCTGGACTTTGCCCTATGTGCCTTTGCCCTTTGCCAATTTTGCTCTGTAGCCTCTCGTTGTAATGAAAGCTGTGAGTATACTGTATGCTGAGGCCCTAGACGCCTAGTGAATCAACGAACCTAAAGATGGGTATGGATCTCCAGGGAACTTAGTCTAATATTCCATTATTTTTTCCAGTTAGGCTATTAAATTCTTCTTTATTTTTTATTTTTTAAAATACATTTTATTGATTTTTTAAAAAATATTTTTTATTAAATTATTATCTGTGTACATATTTTAACATTGCCCCCCCTCTTCTTTAAATTAAAAAAAAATGAGCCAATTCTTTTCTAGATGCAATTTATAATAATTTCTTTTTTAAAAAATATATATTATTGATTTTGTACAGAGAGGAAGGGAAAGAGATAGAGAGTTAGAAACATCTATAAGAGTCATCGATCAGCTGCCTCTTGTACACCCCCTACTGGGGATATGCCCACAACCAAGGTACATGCCCTTGAGCAGAATCGAACCCGGGACCCTTCAGTCCCCAAGCCGACGCTCTATCCATTGAGCCAAACCGGTCTCGGCTATAATAATTTCTTATTTGCTCTTTCGTTCCTTCAGTACAACAATAAATCTTAATATTCAAACTTCTCTAAATATCAGTGAAATAAAATGTGCTACACAGAATACTTTATTATGAACAATTTCCAATATTTAAAAAATATAGAGAAAATCTTTAACGAACCATCCAGTTTCAACTAATGGTCAATCTTGTATCATTAATGTTCCCAATCACTTCCTTCCTTCTCCATCCCCCTTCACTGAATCAAATCACAGACATATAATCTCACCTGCCAATATTTCAGGAATTACATAGAAATTTACCAAAAGAACATAAATATATGAAATTGTATTTTTGTATTATCCTGCTTCTACTCTCAGCTGGGCTTATTTTTAAAGGCTGGTGTGGCTCAGTGGTTGAGTGCCAACTTAGGAACCAGGAGGTCACAGTTTAATTCTTTTTTAAAAATATATTTTTTTATTGATTTTTTACAGAGAGGAAGGGAGAGGGATAGAGAGCTAGAAACGTGGATGAAAGAGAAACATTGACCAGCTGCTTCTTGCACACCCCCTACCAGGGATGTGCCCGCAACCAAGGTACATGCCCTTGATCGGAATCGAACCTGGGACCTTTCAGTCCGCAGACCGACACTCTACCACTGAGCCAAACCGGTTTCAGCCACAGTTTAATTCTTGATTAGGGCACATGCCCAGGTTTCCCGTTTGATCCCCAGTGGGGGGTGTGCAGGAGGCAGCTGATCAGTGATTCTCTCTCATCATTGGTGTTTCTATCTTACTCTCCCTCTTCCTTCCTCTTTAAAATCAATAAAAATATATTTAAAAAATAAGTGTAGGCTAGTGATTTCCGTGCATCTTTGCTTTTTTCTTGATTCTTTTCTCTACATGTTAGGTAGGAGTCCAGGAGATTGAGTCTCCAGAATACTTGCAACAAATTCTCTATCTGCTTCAGATCAGAGAAGTAATTTTCTAGTAGGACAGGACTAATTTTGTTATGATGACCCAATACCCAAGATTTGAATGTGTTTTTAATCCTTGAGCCACATAGATCTGCCACTTTTGTATTCCTCTCAGGTTAAAAACAGCATAAGTTAACATCTTATCACATTCTCTATTTAATTTACTCTCTTAATTTTATTTTTCTTTCTTTTTAAAAAATATATTTTATTGATTTTTCACAGAGAGGAAGAGAGAGGGACAGATACTTAGAAACATCGATGAGAGAGAAACATCGACTCAGCTGCCTCCTGCACACCCCACACTGGGAATGTGCCAGCAACCCATGTACATGCCCTTGACTGGAATTGAACCTGGGACCCTTCAGCTGACGCTCTATCCACTGAGCCAAACCTGTTTCGGCTTCATTTTATTTTTCACCGTTAGTAGCACTACATTAAGAAATTTCAGGAAACTCTCTTCCTTTACCCTTATCCCACTTGAGAAATAAAATTATTGGTTTCAGTTTACACATTATTTTGAGTGATAAAATTTTAAATCAGTATAGAAATTTCAAAATACACTATTTTCAGGACTCAATAATGCCATGTAAAAGAGAGGAAATAATCATACCATTTTTTTTGGCAGCTGAATGAGACTGTCTAGTACAGACTTATATTATAAAACAAGTCCAATGTCAAACAATATCTCTCTTTAGTAGGGGCCATAGTAAAGCTAATCTGGTCCACAAAAACATTCTTAAAACATATCCAAATTTTTAGGAATTCTTTTATATTTTATGCTACCTTTTACTTTGACTGTTGTTTTTTTCCCCCACTAAAAATGGTACAATTTTTATTATTTTTTAAAATCCTCACCCAAGGATATATTTTTATTGATTTGAGAGAGAGAGAGAGAGAGAGAGAGAGAGAGAGAGAGATGAGAGAGATGAGAGAGAAACATTGATCAATTGTCTCCTGCATATACCCAGACCTGGGATCAAATCCACAACTGAGATATATGCTGTGACCAAGAATCGAACTTGTAACCTTTTTGGTTTAGGGGACAATGTTCCAACAAACTGAGTCACCTGGCCATGGCTATTATTATTATTTAAATTTTTATTGATTTTAGAGAGAGGACGGAGGCGGGGGGGGGGGGAAAGGAGAGAGAGATAGGAAAAGAGAGAGATTTGTTGTTCCACTTATTTATACATTCATTGGTTGATCTGCAACTTTGAACCTGTAACTTTGTTGTGTATTGGGACAACACTCTAACCAATTAAACTACCCAGCCAGAGTGATACAATTTTTAGAATAAAGAACACATACAGTACCTCTTCATCCAAATTTTTCTTTTTAAGTTGAAAGTTCTTCAATTTTTGCAGCATTGTATCACTAACTTTCTCACTCTCTTTGAAATGTTCTGCATCTGGATTGCTGATATCCTAAAGACAACAGTTTGGGAAGCTAGATTAATATTTTTTTTCAGTAAAGATAAAAGAAGGAAGGAAAAAAACACAAATGAAACACATCTCCTTCCCCAAATAAGTGACCAAATCAAAGGAGGTAAAATAATATTGAACTCGATTTTTTAAACTCAATTCCTTAATTACTCATAATAAGATATTCAATAAAGGGTTAGTGTAGAAAGAGTTCATATAGATTTACACTCATATATAGATTGTTATTGGGACAGATTTATATATTCATTGGGATATTAATACTCATTTATAAAATTATACATGCTCATGCATTTATACATATAGCCCCTCTTAGCATAGTGAGTTTATAAACCCAAATTTTAAACAAATTATTGTAACTAAAACCAAAATAATCAGACATCCTCAACAATACTGAACCTCTCCATATTTCCAGGGTACCCAGGATGAAGGCAGTTATACCAAAATAACCTAAGGATCACAAGTGTATGCCTTATGTTCTGCCTGAGTTCTGTCACTTTATCATATGTGAGACTTTAGTCAAGAAACTCAACTGTTCTAAACCTTTCTTTGCTTTTTAAAAAAGCCTGATAATACAGAGAATGGTGTAAGAGATAAGCCATGAAAAACAGAACAGTAAATTTAAATGGTCCCAAGGACAGATTGGGAAGTCAGCAAATATTTGTTGAGTGCCTATTAGGAACTTAACCTGTATTAGGTACAGGACATATAGCATACCAAGTCTCTAATCTTGAAGGCCTATATTCTAGTGGGGTGGGAGATTCAGAATAAGCAAATAACATTTGTTTGGCTCACTAAAAAGATCTATACTTCATTATTGAGAGGTCTGGTAGAAAAGAAGCAACTAGCAAATTAAGACTGAGAAAGAACAGCAGCCACCAGTGAGAAGGGAGAAAACTAAGCAAATATAGTGAGTAAGCAAATGTTTGAAGGGCAAGGTGGGGAGAAAAGGTTTACAGCTAAGGAGAGTCTGTGCCACAATCAAATTCCAATATTTAAAAACAAAACTTTAGGTAGATATAGTGTGTGGGCCACCACTTTGTGATCTCTGGATAAAATGCTTAGCTCGGTATCTAGTATTAAATAAATGCTAGTGTTTAACAAATTTAGCTAAAACAAAGTAGAAATAAGGCTTGTGTTGGATCAGAAATATCACAAACCTATGTCACCAAACTTTGGCTCAGATGTATGCACTAAGATAAAAGAAACTATAATAATAAAAGCATAATATGCTAATTAGACTGGACAGTCTAGCAACCTTCCAGATGTTATTCCAGACATCCTTCAGGATGAAGCCGTGACGGCAGGGGCCAAGGGAGAGGCGGTTAGGGATGATTAGGCAGGCAGGCAGGAAGAGTGGTTAGGGACAATCAGGCAGGCAGGCAAGGGGTTAGGGGTAATGAGGCAGGCAGGAGAGTGGATATGGGTGATGAGGCAGGTGAGCAGTTAGGAGCCAGTGGTCCCAGACTGTGATCCCGATATCCCTCCAAGGGGTCCTGGATTGTGAGAAGGTACAAGCCGAGCTAAGGGACTCCCTCCACGCGCGCCCCCCCCCATTCACAAATTTCGTGCACCAGGCCCCTAGTACATAATAATAGAAGGAAAGTGGAAGAAAGAGAGCTAATTTGAGAAACTATCAAGTGTCATGTCCTTTAATATATTCTCTCATTAAATGTAGTGCTTGTAAGCTCCCAGGGCAGCAGCATGTATAATTTCCTCTATTTCCCATGAGGAAACTAAGGCTGAGAAAGGTGAAGTTACTTGGCCAAGACACACAGCCAGCAAGTGGTAAAGCCAGAATTCAAACTCACATTACATTAACTTCATTTTTCATTCTACTAATGGACACAGTTCCACACTGCCCGCCCCCTGCCCCAAAACTATAGTTTTAGGCTGGGTAAACAGCTAATTAATGTGAACAATCACTAATCTCTAGGAGCAGGCTGACCCAGAGCATAAGACTACTGTTTTGAAAGAGCTTTCCTGAAACATGAGATGTTCTAATGTTACTATACTATAGGCTTGTGGGAATTAGATGTTGACAAAAGATAAACAGAAAGAAGCAGTAGGAGGAAGGAAAGGCTGATTGGCTGATTGAGGGTCTCTATTCTGTCTTCCATTATTTTCTTTCATAACTTATTTCTGTCATTTCACATTACCTTTTTTTGTCTAACCTCGGTATTTTCCTTCCCACCCAATAAAAAATATGTATTAAAAAAATTACCTGGCATGCAAGAAGTCTTGCCATTAGAGCCAGAAGATAGTGAATTTTGAAAGCCAGTTGAGAAGTTGTTTTCACATCAGGGAGATTTGGGCTCTCTTCTTCACAAGGTGAGCAATTAGAATGTATTACCTTCACATCCTACATGCACACAATTCACATTTGTCACAATAAAGACAAAGAATCTGGGTTACTTTAAAAGTAAAATGCTGAATAAAATACCACTCCTAAAACCTCTGAATGTGGTTTTCAAACTTTTTAAATTTTATTTTCAAGACCCCTTAAATAGTCTTCAAAATGATTAAGGACCCCAAAAACATTTTGCTTATGTAGGTTATATCTATCAAGATTTATCAAATTAGAAATTAAAGGTGAGAACATTTAAAAATTTTAAATAACAATAAATCTATTATGCTAATATAAATAGCATTTTTTTAAAAAAAAATTACCACATTTACCAAAACAAAAATTAGTGAAAAGATTGGGTCTGTTACAATTTTTTGCAAATACTTTTAATGCTGGCTTAATGGAAGACAGCTGGATTCTTGTATTTGCTTCACATTTGTGTCAGCCATGGAAACAATTACATCACATGTCATTTAGTTTCTGGAAATCTTAACTGTATATTTGTGAAGGAATGAGAGTGAACAAGGCAATAACAACTTTTTTAATATTAATATGAAAATATTTTTGAACACACAGATACACCAAGACCTAGAGTTTTACACCTTGAGAAAATGGACCTAGAGTTAATAAAAAGCAAAACTAAAGGGAGAGTAAGAATTATTTGGGGATATAAAAGAAATTGATCAGTTAAGATAAAACAAAAAAATTAACTGTTTTTAAAAAGAAAGCTCAAGGGAAAAAAATCATGCTGTGATAAACTTCTGTATAATTACAAAATTGTAAAATTTGTCATGATTTGATTAGCAGCTAAACTTAAGGTCATCTTGGCTTAAGTTAGTGGTTCTCAAAGTGTGATCCCTGGACCAGCAGCATCAGTGAGACCTAAGATCTCATTATAAATGCACATTCTCAGGCCTATCACACACCCACTGAATTAGAAACTCTGGGTGGGCCCCAACAATCTGCATTTTCACTGCTAATGTTGATAAATGCTGAAGTTTGAGAACCACTGGCTTAGATGATCCTTACTTCTTTCTGGAGAAAAAAAATCATAGAGAAAACGTTTTAAACAGAGAAAATGTCTTCCTAAGAATCATTAAAAATATAGAATTATTTTCTTGCAAACACTATGTAATGTCCACTCAGGACATCTCCAAAGTAACATATCAGCTCAGTTCAAGTTATTTTAACAAATATAAACTTAAACATGTCTCTCGTTGAAATTAGCCTTCTTTCTAAGTAGTCAGAGTTAATAAGATCGTATTATAAATATTTTAAGGTAGGCCTACAAAATTGAAATAGGTGTGCTCTGTCTTGTGAAATTATCACTTCCAGGACATGCTTCCAGGTTCTCGACTGTCAAAAAGTCCATTTGAATTGCAAAGAATACCAAATTACAGCCTCTCCAAAAGTATTGATGTGAGGCTCCCATGCTGTTTTTAACTGACATTAACTGAACTTATCGTGGTGATCATTTTGCAATGTATACAAATATTGAATCATTATGTTGTACACCTGAACTAATGTTATGTATCAATTATATCTCACTAAAATGTTCATAATTCTACAAAATTAATGTGATAAAATATAGGTTTATTTTACCATGTAAACTAAATATGCAATTATATTATTTACTTTTATTGTTGAATAGGCAGACATGGTATGAAAAGATTGAGATCCCCATTAGAAAAATCCTTTCTCAAAGATTCTTCAGAATATAATATAAATAACATATTTTTAAAAAGTTACCACATTTACCAAAATCCTTTGGTAAATGTGGTAACTTTTTAAAAATATGTTATTAAAATAAATATAAAAATAAAATAAATAAATACCACATTTACCAAAATCCTTTGGTAAATGTGGTAACTTTTTAAAAATATGTTATTAAAATAAATATAAAAATAAAATAAATAAATACCACATTTACCAAAGGATTTTGGTAAATGTGGTATTTATTTATTTTATTTTTATATTTATTTTAATTTTCATATTTACCAAAATAATAACAAGAGGCCAGAAATGGCGGCTCTTTAATGAAAGTACCCAAGAACCAAGGAAACTTTTCCAAATCTGGTACATTTTCCATTCTGTCTTTTTTTGGTTAGTAATTCTGCCAAAAAACATGCATCACTAGACTATCACAAACTCCTGAAATTCTGCCTTAGAACTTTTGATTTTGTGACAATACCTTTGTGATATCTGACTTCATTACTGTCTCCAAGTGCTCCTTTAACTGAGCTACCTCAAATTTAGGGACACAATTTTGCTCCTCACTCCTCGCAACCTGCTGCTGTAGTTTTGCATTTTCATTTTTTACTTCGTTGATTTGCTGCTGAAGTTTTGTGTTCTTAGCCCTTTCACTTTCAGATATGAGTTGCACATTTTTAAATTGAGCTACCACTTTCTCAAGTCTACATTTCAGTTTCTGTCTTTCTTCCAAGTGTTCCTTTTCATGGTTCTGAAATTCTTCCTGTAAAGACAGGAACTCTTGTTCTCGGGTCTCTTTTTCCCTTTTCAATAAGTCCAAAGCAGAAGAGGAGGCATTTTCCAATTCTCCTTTGAGTTGCTGCAGCCTCTCCACCTCTTCTTCTTTCTCACTTAAGGCTTTGCTCACCTCTGTGTACTGACTAACAATTTTGTTTTTTTCTTGCTTTTCAGTTATATACCTCTCCTGTAGATGAACATAATTTCCCTTGATCCTCTTAAGCTCTACCTGTAAGCTTTCCTTTTCTTTCTTAGATTCCTGAAGATGTTTTTGGGTGTTAATTAAAACGTCATGTAAATTCTGCAAAGTCTTGTCAGTTTCATTCTTCTCTAGCCTTACTCTGTATTTGTCTTCAATTAATGCTTCAATATTCTCCTTTAGCTTATCTATGATGCCAACGAACACTTGCTGCTTGTCAGTCTTTGCCTGTAGTTCTTCAACCTTCTTCTCTAAATACATGTTAATATACTGCAAGTTTTGGATCAGAGTTTGCTGTTTTTTGTTAGTATGCTTTAATTTCTGTAAGGCTTCATTTAAAGCCATATCTTCTTCTAGAGTTTGTAAGCATTCCAAGTCTTGCTCTGTGTCATGTGTTTTGCCATCCTCCCAAGATGCTCCACAACTCCAAGACATGGCAGCAGGAGAATGACTTGACACAATCTCTGGACTTTCCATGTCCTCCACTGTGACTTCCCTTTGGTGACTGACTGACATCTTAGAAATCTCCCCAGGATACTGTATCTCGTTTGAAGAAACTGAAACCTGTAAATTAAAGTAAATAAGTGTGAAAGTGTAGGATAACTTTGAATTTTGAAGTCAGAGCTGACCTTGAATTATAGATCCCTAGTCTGGTTCCCTCAGCTGTAAAATAACAACTATAACATATACTTCTTCTAATGATACCTACTTAACAAAAATACGTAAGTATTAATTGCTAAGTGTATGTATAGCACCCAATAGCACAGCAGAGCACAAACAATAGGTATATAATAAATTTTTTTTATCACATTTACTTTTTAAAAAGAAAAATTAAACTTTAACACTCTCACCATTCTCTCTGATGTAAACTTTTCTAGATACATATTACATACTTTCCTTGACCTCACATGAATTAAAACAGATTTATCAATTACCTATAGTCTGTGAGGCCTCTTTTAAATACTTTAAAAATTATTCATTAATCATTGCCTCATTAGGCTATATGACTTTTGTGAACCTTAGAATGCCAGCTGAACATCTTGTGATTGATTCTTTCCCACAATACAGGTTTTTTGGTTTTGTTTTTTTTTTGGGGGGGGGTGTGTGTTTAAAAAGAACAGTAAGTTGTAGTAAATCAACACTGAAATGAATATGACATAAATACCCAGGAAAAGATATCTGTAAAAGTGGGATCCATGCTTTCTAGAATTTAGATTCGGTTCTCTGTATTTTTATTTTAGTTTTGGAGAGAAAGGAAGGGAGGGAGAGAGAGAAAGAAAGAGAGAGACAGGCATGTGAGAGTGAGACATTGATCTGCTATCTCCTGCAATGCCCCCTACCAGGGATCAAGCCTGCAAACTTTTGGTGCACGGGCTGACATCCAACCAACTGAGCCACACTGGCCAGGTGGACCTCTGTATTTTAATGTTTCTTCATTGCTCTGGGATAAAGACAACTATCCTTACTGAAGTCTACAAGGTTCTAATATCTGATCTTGATATCTGACCCATGCTGCCTCTCCATTCTCATCTATTATATCCCTCTTATTCCCCCCAACCCTGTTCTTCCTTCAGGACCTAATAGGAATAATGCTCCCTGCAGCCACTGTTTTTTTTTTTTATCACATATTAATTCTGCATGAAATGCTTTCCCACACCTGATTACCTAATTAATTCCTACTCATCTTTCGAAGCTCAGCTCAATTCCCATTACATAAGGGAAGCCTTCTCCAAACTCCCTGCAAATAAGAGTAAGATGATAGTCATCTTACTCTTATTTGCAGGACCAATCATTGCTTCAAGTCTACATGTACTTTTATGTAATGTTACATACATTTTATATATGCTTTATATGTAACTTTTACTCATGATACCATAGCTGAAAATTCTTATTTTGTGTGTGATTATTTGATTAATGTCTATCTCCTCTACTAGGATGTTATTAGATGCCTGAAAGTATTTATTGACTGAATGAGTAAATGCCTAATGCAATGGAAATAGGAAGGAACCATCTTGGGAAGTCCTAATTAAACAGATTTTTAAAATGTTATTTTCCAGAAACAAATATGGGAAAATAAAGTCCTCATTTAAATGCTGTTTTTGGCCCTATCTGGTTTGGCTCAGTGGATAGAGCATTGGCCTGCGGATGAAGGGTCCCAGGTTTGATTCCAGTTAAGGGCACATACAAGGTTGTGGGCTTGATCCCCAGCAGGGGGTGTGCAGGAAGATGTTTCTAATGTTTTTTTTTCTCTCTCTCCCTCTCCCTTCCTCTCTGAGATCAAGGAAAATATATTTTAAAAAAATAAATGCTGCTTCTGAATAAACAAATAAAAAAAACTGGCCATACTTGCATATTAAACATAATACTCATAGCTTTTCTTAGCAAATTCACAATGAAAAGAATAATGTTATCCTTTTATTATATCTACTTGCCCACAAAAATTCTTTTTTGTTTGTTTGTTCAGAGCATTTAGAATTTATACTATTAGCATCTTCATTGCTCTTAGGATACTACATGCATGGTCAAGATTAATACATCAAAAGATAAGTTAATGTTTTCACTTTTGTAAAAAAAATAATAATTTTTGCTTCTCCATAGAAATCTCAATTGATAGAAAAATTTTAAGCTTTCCTTGTCAAATAATTTAATATTGCTTGATCTTTAAAACTTTTTTTTTTTTGGCTAGAACTGAGTTCTAGCCAATTTAATTCACCAAATATGAAAGCTTATTATAGTTAAGGCACCATATAGATGGTAAGATGCATAAAAGAAGTAGAACAGAGCCTTGATCCTCAAAGAAACTATCATTTGATAGAGCTAAGTTCCAATTATGGACTTGATTTTATTTAAAAATTTGCTTCAAACTTGTTCAAGATCTAGGAAGGCATTTTGCCCAAAAAAGCAATGTCCTTTATGCTGATTATCACTTGGAAAAGCCTCAGATAATATACTTTAAAAAACAACAACAGTCCTGGCTGGTGTGGCTCTGGATAGAGCGTCGGCCTGCAGACTGACGGGTCCCAGGTTCAATTCTGGTCAAGGGCATATACACTGGTGTGGGAACATCCCCAGGGGGTGGTGGTGGTGGTGCAGAAGGCAGCTGATCGATGTTTCTCTCTCATAGATGTTTCTAACTCTCTATCCCTCTCCCTTCCTCTCTATAAAAAAGTCAATAAAATATATTTAAAAAATAAATAAATAAAATAAAAAGCAACAACACATCTTTAATACTCTACAACACATGTGTCAAACACAAGGCCCGCGGGCCAAATCCATCCCGCCAGGCCTTGCAATGTGGCCCGCACCGCGCTGTCATCACTGCACTCCACTGCGTTTCCATCACAATGACAGTTTATGACTGTTCAGTAAACCATTCGGCCCGCGATTTAGGCTGGATTTTAGATTTTGGCCCCTTCTCTGATTGAGTTCGACACCCCTACTCTACAAGCTGTACTGACCATCAAAAATCTTACCTCCTGAGACTCCTTTCAAAATGGTGGCATAGGTAAACATGATGCTCACATCCTCCCACAACTACATCAAAATAACAACTAAATTACAGAACAACTATCATTCAGAACACTCTTAAATCAAGCTGAATGGAAGTCTTACAACTATGAAATTAAAGAAGCCATATCGAGATTGGTAGGAAGGGCAGAGTTGTACAATGGGCTAGTCCCAAACCCATGTGTGATGGATAAAAATCAGGAGGAATACCTAGGTTATGAAAATTCTCCTGATGAGCAAGGGGTCCCAGTGCCACACTAGGCAATCCAAGCCCAGGGTTCTAGTCCAAGGAAGAGAAGTCCCCATAACCTCTGGATGTAAAACCACTGGAAATTGAGGCTGAGGGAGGCTGAGGCAGTTCCTTTGAAAGGGCCCACACACAGTTACTCGGACTCATTTCCTCTGAGTTCCAGCACAGAGACAGGAGCTTGAAAGGCACCAGAGACAATTGGGAGGAACTGAATTGTTTGGCATCTGGGCAAGATATGGAGGGGCAGCTTTCTCCCAGAGAGAATTACTGGCAGAAGTCATTGTTCCTTTGATGAGCCCCTTTGCCCCACAGAACCAGCAGACAGGTGCCATATCTGAGACTCCATCAACTTGGCTCATACTGTTTGGCCCAACCTGCTGATTCCCTGAGATCCTGCCCCACCCAACTTTTGGGCCCACCCAAGCTGTTTCCAGTGGCTTTATCATAGGAATGACCTGTCTTGGCTCATGCTTCAGATTTAAAACAAATCTCTCGAACAAGCAGCATCTGACCTCAGCAAGTCCCTTACCTTTAGCTAAATGGCCCCAGGCCGAGCACAAAAGTAGCCAGCCTTAATTCACAGTTTGGCCTCTCCTGGACATCTTCAAGCACAAGAAGCAACCATATGCAGATTGCTTTGTAGTTTTTACCTAGTGGACCCGGGCAGAACACAGATAGTGGCTGAATTTAGTGTGCACCTTCCAGACAGCCCCAGAGCCAGCACACCCAGTGGACAGCTTCAGACCACGTCGAAGAAACAGCACCCAACCACCTCCATAAGTGAAGCACTCAGGGGTAGACTTAGTGTGTCCCAGAGCCCCGCTGAAGTAAGTCATGCTCTATGTGGTGGGTCCCTGCAGTTGATCCTCCAAGGTGGATGGAGGTTGGTGGTCAGTGGTCATGGCCAATCCTTGCATCAGATTGTTCTGGGTCAATCCTTCCCTTTGATGTGCCAACAGCAATCAAAACTCAACTTAAAAAAAGGAGGGTGTACAGCTCATTTGGAGCAGAGTTGGGGAATACACCTCGAGTGCCTAGCTGGGGTGACTGGGGAGGCTATGCCACTTGACCTTACAGGAGATCTACTACATTAGGCCACTCTACCAAGCCTGGGAGACAGAGCAACTCTACCTAAAACAAACACAGGGATAAAAATCAGGAGGAATAACTGAGGAGACAAAGAAATATGGCCCAAATGAAACAACAGAATTAAACTCCAGAAAAAGAACTAAACAAAATGGAGATAAGCAATCTACTAGATGCAGAGTTCAAAACACTGGTTATAAGGATGTGTAAGGAACTTAAGAGAGGATCTCCACAACATAAAAAAGAACCAGTTAGAAATGAAGGCTACACTAACTGAGATATAGAATAACTTACAGGGAATCAAGAGTAAAATAGATGAAGCTGAGAATCAAATCAGCAACTTGGAATATAAAGAAGCAAAAAACACCCAATTAGAACAAAGAAAAAGAAGGAGGAGGAGGAGGAGGAGGAGGAGGAGGAGGAGGAGAGAAAGAAAGAAAGAAAGAAAGAAAGAAAGAAAGAAAGAAAGAAAGAAAGAAAGAAAGAAAGAGAAAGAAAGAAAGAAAGAAAGAAAGAAAGAAAGAAAGAAAGAAAGAAAGAAAGAAAGAAAGAAAGAAAGAAAAAAACAAACAAACCCATGAGGATAGTTTAAGGAACCTCTGGGACAACTTCAAGTGTACCAATATTCACATCATGGGGGTACCGGAAAGAAAAGAAAGAGAGCAAGAAATTCAAAACTTATTTGGAAAAATAATGACAGAAAACTTCCCTAACTTGGTGAAGGAAAGAGACATACAAGTCCAGGAAGTGTAGAGTCCCAAAGAAGAAGAACCAAAAAAGGCCCACACCAGGACATATTATAATTAAAATGCAAAAGGTTAAAGACAAACAGAGAATCTTAAAAGCAGCAAGAGAAAAGCAGTTAGTTACTTACAAGGGAGCTCCCATACGACTATCAGCTAATTTCTCAACAGAAATTTTGCAGGTCATAAGGGAGTAGAAAGAACATTTAAAGTAATGAAAAGCAAGGACCTACAACCAAGATTATTTACTCTGCAAAGCTATCCTATATAATAAAACTAATATGCAAATCAGCTGAACAGTGGAATGACCGACAGAATGACTGGTTGCTATGATGCACATTGCCCCAACCTGGGGCAGCTCTTGCATTGAGCGTCTGTCTCTCAAAAGGAAGGTGACTGGTGGCAGCGATTGGGTGGTGGGGCTGGCCAGTGGATAATGCCAGGCTGCTAGCCAAGGGGTGCCAGTGGGGATACTCCAATCACCCTGCCTGCTGGTCACCCCCAAGATGGCCCTGATCGCCAGCCAAGCCTAGGGACTCTACCCTATATATTGGGAACAGTCTCTTAGACTTAAAAATTAAAACCTGTCAAGGCTACTCTAACACTGAAAAAATAGATGATGCAGCAATGACATGCATGGACCACTGACCATGACCATTTTGTGGTCAGCCCTGATTCTGACACTTATAACTATGTCGACAAAGCCAATTACTTAACTTCTCTCTGCTTCAGTTTTTTCACCCATAAGATAGGGAAAATGGTACTACTGCCTCAGAAGGATCACGTTATGTACTACTTTTTATAATCAGGGCAAAAAAAGTAGCTTTCCATACAACAGCAACATGCCTTTCACCTGTATGAAAAGTATGGTCACTAGTGCATTCAGTCCCAGATTGCAAGAGGAATGTCCGACTGCCGCTTTAGGCCCAACATCCCCCAAGGGATCCGGGATTGCAAGAGGATACAGGCCAGGCTGAGGGACGCACTCCCCTCCCCCCCACCCCCGCCCCCAGTACACTGGGCCTCTAGTCTATATATATAAAAGTCTAATATGCGAAGTGTCTCCTTGGGACTTTGACCAACTGGGAGTTTGATTGCTTGCTATGATGTGCACTGATCACCAGGGGATGGTGTAGAACGAAGAAAGTCCCTAGCCAGCAGGTGCTAGGGACTGCACCCATGCACAAATTTTGTGTACTGGGCCTCTAGTCATTTATAATAGAAGATAAAGGGTTCACAGACAAGATAAAGCTGAAGAAGTTCATTACCATCAAACCAGTATTATATGAAATAGGCTCTTATTTAAGAAGAAAAAGAACAAAAGATTAAAAAAATATGAACAATAAAATGACAATAAAAAATAGTCATGGAGGTGCAAAGTACAGCATAGGGAATATACTCAATAATATTCTAATAACTAGGAGTGGTGCTGGATAGGTATGGGATTTATTGGGATGATCATATATTAAGTTATATAATGTGTGGTCACTGGGGTGGAAAGAGAGAGAGAGGGGGGGGAGGGAGGAAGGAGGGAGTAAAGGGAGGGAAAGGAAGGAAGAAAGAAAGAAAGGGAGAGGAAGGAAGGAAGGAAGGGACGGAGGGAAGGAGAGAGGGAGGGAAAAAGGAAGGAAAAAAATAATCTTACCTTCTTTGTTTTATAATTAGCTCTCAAATCATGCAGGTTAAAGATATCCTCTTGATAAAATGGCTTTTCAACATCATTGTATAAATATTCCTTACACAAGAAATTTTCAGATTGACTGGAGTTGAGGGTAGATTCTTTGGTAACATTTTCAACCAGTGGCATTTCCATGAATTCCAGTCTCTCTTTACTGCAGTGGATTACAGATGGGCTTCTAGGAGGTTGCCAGACACATTCATGATCATGGTCTTCATTAGTGGAAGTATTAGTTTCTACTGGATTTTCTTCTTTAAATGAATCTTCCTTAATATTGTTGTCTTTTGCATAGTTATATACGTGATTTTGCAATTCTGGCTTCTCTGTGTAAGGTAAGTTGCTTATCAGATTTTGAAATGTTAGCATTTTATCATTAAATGCTTTTGTCTGATGATATGTGAAAACGGTTTCACATTGTCTGAATGAAGAAATGCTGATGTCAATAGGCCGAGTTAGCGTATACTGTGAATAATTTCCACTGTTGACATCTCATTAGAAAGGTAAAAGAATACAATAATTAGCTGACCATAAATTTATGTGTTAAAAGTTATATTAACATTTATGAAATAAACAGAAAAAATATATCTTCAACTTTATTATTGTACATTTACTCTCTAAATGGTCATTTATACTTCTACCAGGACATAGAAATTTCTTCTCTACATCTCTCAACATGTCATACTAATATATATATGAAACTAGAGGCCTGTTGCAGTAATATTTCTGCAAGAATAGGGCTTCCTGTGGCCGTCTCTGCCAGCCTGCCTGCTTCCCTCCCTTTTCTACTGCCCTGCCTGCTTCCCTCTCTTCTCCACTGCCCCACTTGCTTCTCTGCAGCTTCTGTAGCACTTGGCTTCCTTCTATGCTGTTTTCAGTCTTTGCTCTGTGCCTGGATATGCAAATTATCCACCATATTTGTTGGGTTAATTTGCATACTCCTGATTAGCTGGTGGGCGTGGCTTGTGGGCATACCGGAGGTATAGTCAATTTGCATGTTTTTCTTTTATTAGTGTAGATGGCATTTTGTGGTCTTTTTAATACACATCTTTTTAGGTATTTAATGGTCTTGCAGGTTTCTTTTTCTGTGAACTGCCTCTTAGATACTGTTAGGAACTAAATTGTTTCCTCAAAATTCATATGTTGAAGGCTTAATCCCAGTACCTTAGAATGTCATATATTTAGGGATATAACCTTAAGGAGGTAATTAATGACAAAAGAGGTCATAGGGTTGGGGCTCTACTACAATATGACTGGTGTCCTTATAAAAGAGGAGATATTAGGGAAGCACAGGAGTAAAGGCCATGTGAGGACAAGATGGCAAACTGAGGCCTCAGGAAAAAACAATTCTGCAGGAACTTGATCTTGGACTTCCAGCCTCTAGAACTGTGAGAATATAAATTTGAATTGCTAAATCTTAACCGAGTCTGTGGTATTTCGTTATGGCAGCTCTACATATATATTGCCTGTGTTTCTTTTTGTTGTTGCTGTTTGTTTGTTTTTAATTGAGTTATGTGTGTCTTTTCTTATTGGAGTTCTTTATTTTGGATACTAATCCTCTGTCAATTGTAATGGATCTTACACTGTGGCTTGCTTTTTTCTTTGTTGATTATAATTTGGACACACACATTTTTAAAATGTTAATATAGTCAAATGTATTATGGTTTGTATTTCTTGTGTTACTCTCTGAGCCTCACTATTCTCATCTTTAAAATGAAGATAAAGGAGAACCCAAGATGGGGACATAGGTAAACACCTAAACTGCGGCCTTGCACAACAATTTCAAAACTACAACTAAAAGATAAAACTTCTATCACCAAGAGCCATGGGAAAGCTGGCTGAGTGGAAGTTCTACAACTAGATGGAAAGAGAAAAGAACATTCAGTGTACAAATGCTGAAAAGCTGAGGAACGGGGTAATGTGCGATATGGGCTGGCGGTGGGCATTGCTTTCTTCAACCCGAAGGGGAGACTCACAGGACCCAAACTCCTATGAGGAGAAGCTGGACTGTCTGCCATCGTGTCGAAAAGTGAGGGTGGCTTGCCTGCAGAGTTGCCCGGAGGAATAATTATTTGCTGTGCTGGGGCGTGAGACATGGGGACGTGATCGGAGGCACGGGATGGCTGGCTGCCAGCCATTGCTGTTTGCCTAGTGACGCCCTGAGACCCCATCCCACACAACTTACAAACTCACCCAAACTCCAATTGGTGTTCTTTGTATATGACTGGCCTTCACTATCTCCACTTAACCTAGCAAACTTGCTAACCTGTTCAGACTGCTCCATAATCTACAAATCCCAAGTAGGGAGGAGAGGACAGTAGTTCTCGCTGTAGCTCCTGCAGGGTGGCCTCAGACAGTAGCTGACCTGCACCCCATTGGCGATGCAGAAGCCAGTATATCTAGTGGTCAGTGTGAGATACCAGATTTCAATTCCTTACATCCATAAGTGACACATTCAACAGGAAGACTCAGTGAGCACCAAAGCCCCATTGAAACAACTCCAGCACCATAAGCATGTCTCCAGTGCAGCAGTTCTTCCATTATAAATACAGCGGTTCCCCACAGCCAATTGGCCTGGAGGACAATTCCTCCTAGTGTACCAACAGCAATCAAGGCTTAACTACACTAAGACTTTGCACTCAGCCCAAAAAGGGGTGTACCAAGACCATCCACCTCAGGTGATTGGGGAGGCTGAGCACTGGCCCCTATAAGTCACCTACCACACAAAGCTGCTCCATCAACACAGTTAGCAGTGAAAATGCAGAGACACAGAAACATGTCGTGAATTAAAGAAATGGAGGAAAGCAAACAACGGGATGACATAGAGTTCAAAACCACATTTATAAGGTTACTCAAGAATCTTCTGAAAACCGCTGAGAAACTTGATGAGACCCTTCAAGGACCTTAATAAAAATGCCAAAAAAAAAAAAAAATGGAAAAGGAATAGTCAGAAATTAAGCATACACTGTCTGAAATAAAGAATATACAGAAACTCAACTGTAGATGAACATACCCCAAGGATCAAACCAGAAAACTGAAATATGAGGAAACAAAAGACACCAACCATTAAAACAAAAAGAAAAAAAGGTCCAAAAATATGAAGATAATGTAAGAAGCCTCTGGGAAAACTTTAAGTTTACCAACATCCGAATTTTTGGGATGCCAGAAGAAGAGAGAGAGCAAAATATTGAAAACCTATTAGGAGAAATAATGACAGAAAACTTTCCCCACCTGGTGAAAGAAATAGACTTACAAGTTCAGGAAGCACACAGAATCCCAAACAAGAGAATCCAAAGAGGACAACACCAGGACACATCATAAAATGCCAAGAGCAAAAGACTGAGAGAGAATATTAAAAGCAGCAAGAGAAAAACAGTTACCTACAAGGGAGTACCCATAAGACTGCCAGCTGATTTCTCAACAGAAACTATGCAGGCCAGAGGGAGTGGCAAGAAATATTCAAAGTGATGAACAGCAAGAACCTACAACCAAGATTACTCTACCCAGCAAAGATATCATTCAGAACTGAAGGTCAGATAAAGAGCTTCACAGACAACAAAAAGCTAAAGGAGTTCATCACAACCAAACTAGGATTACATGAAATGCTGAAGGGTATTCTTTAAGAAGAGGAAGAAGAAAAAGGTAAAGATAAAAATTATGTACAACAAGAAGACATCAAATACATACCTACCAACAAGTGAATCTAAAAATCAAGTGAATAAAAAATTTGAAGAACAAATGGACTTGTGAATATAATGGAATCAGGGACATAAAAAGGTAGTGGACTGACAATTCTCAGGGGGAAAGGAGTCAGGGGGGTGTGAGAAGAGATTGGACAAAAGTCTTACACCTATGGATGAAGAAAGTGGTGGGGAAAAGAGCATGGGGTGGGGTGGGGAACCAGGTGGAGAGGAGCTATGGGAGAAAAAAAGGAGGAACACCTGTAATAATCTGAACAATAAAGATTTATTTTAAAAAAACATAAAAAAATAAATAAAATGAAGATAAAAACAGCCCTTATTTACAAAGAAGTAAAAGTCCTATTCCATGGGCTTGTTTATAGATTAAATGTAACAATGTATATAAAATGCTTAACACAGTACTTTGCTCTTATTTTCTTTTTTTCCTGTTTTTTTATTGTTTAAAGTATTATATATAGTAATACATATAGTACTTAGCTCTTGTTATTATCATGACAAGACACAAAGAAATCTTATTTTCTGTTTGTATATTGCCAACAGAGAGATACTCACCACCTAACACATCATCTAGTGTGCTATAAATTTCTTCTTTAGACTCATTTTCCTTTTTTACATTTTTTATTTCATTCTGTAATAATAATAAAAAAGGCATTATAAATACTTCAAATACCATTGGCCTCTCCTAAAGGTATATGTACATTGCTATGTAATTTTTGTTAGTATATCATGTATGTGGATCTAAATGATGCTCTAAAAAAGTTTTTCTCTCTTATAAAGTTAGTTGGTTACAAATCTCTATTCAATATGCTTCTTATAGTATTGTTCTACTTAATGTACCTGAAGTACAATAAAAATTAAATTATACAACTATCTGTTTTTTGTTACTTGTTGCTAATTCAGATCATTCCTCCTAATTAGATTTTTAAAATATCAGGAATAATATACTTGAAAAATAAAATAGCAATATTCACATGTATTTACGTGATATTTATACAAACTTCTTGGTACTCCATTACTCAATGAATTTCAAAAATCACTTCTAATTCTTGTCTTTCATGATATTACTGTTTTTAGCTAAACTAAGCCTTTTGTCTATAAATTTTCTATAAAAAAACAAGATGGAGGACTTCCTTAATAATTTAAGTCATTCATTCTTTACAACTCAGTGCGTAGTAAGTTGATCCCAATTAACACCATAATACTATGACCAAATTTTTTCCATAACAAAAATAGACCAGATGTCAGGCTCCTTGTGTTCTTGTTCTGACTCTGTTACTGAGTTGTTGTGGCTATGTCCTCTGGCTATACTCATGGGAGAGACTAGAAAGGATCTGTTTTAACTTTGTAAAGTTCTACCTTTCTTGAAAACCAGTTCCACTATTCCTCTCTTCTATGCATCCACTGGAGATTCCTTTATTGCTCTTCATATATATATATATATATATATATATATATATATATATATATATATGTTGTTAATCATCGCCTGAGGCTATTTTTCCATTGATTTTTTTAGAAAGAGTGGAAGGGAAGGGGGTAGACAGAGAAAAAAACAAACACATCAATGTGAGAGAGACACATTGATTGGTTGTCTCCTTCGAGCCTTCAATGGTGGTAAATGTCTGGAATCGAACCCAGGACTCTTATGTCCACAGGCTGATATTCTATCCACTAAGCCAAGCCAGCTAGAGCTGTCATATATATATATATATATATATATATATATATATATATATATATATATAGTATATAATTTTTTTTAATGTTCATATGGAATACAATGAGAATGCTAAATGCATCTGTATCTCCCAGACCTCGTAAGCAATGCACACCTGAGGCAAGTCTGAAGTAGTATTGCTGGTTTCCATATAGAAGAGAGAATTTGAATGAGTTAAATCTTGAGAAAAACTGGTGAAATTCATGGCATCCGCTTCTGACATGCTTTCCAATGTTTCATGAGAAACATCCACTTTAAAATATACAGGATCTGAAGGTGATCACCAAATTTTTTTATATTTCTTGTTCCTAACTGTTGAATGATGAAAAGCTTCTTAAAAAAACACACATAATTTTAAGGTCTTTTAACATATGCAAACAAAAAGCTTCCCCCACTCCCTTTGCACATTAAGCCGTCAAGTTCACAGCCCTAAATTTTAAAATGTCATTTGCCAAGTTATTGAAAAAGATTTAGTGTGTGTATAGCATGGTAACTTTGCATGGTAACTTTCCATAAATAATTTGGACAAAAGAAAATTACCTAAAAAACTTGGGACCCAGAAGGTGAAGGGATCTCTAAGTTATTTAATCAAAGGATATTCACAAAATATTATCAGAGGTCTATTAGGTTCCACCAAACACTGACAGCATTTCTATTTACTTAGTAACTGCTATATGAATATTTCTGTATCAAGCCAAATCGAACATTGTAAATCAATTTTCCTTCAGGCACTTGAGGTTTGAAAACATGGCAATCTTCTACCTCATTGTCCAAGTCCTGTCTATTTATCCTCTAAAAATGATTTTCATAACCCATGCTTTCTTTCCATCCCCTAGATCAGTGGTCAGCAAATCGTGGCTCACGAGCCACATGCTGCTCTTTGGCCTTTTGAGTGTTCTAATGCCACTTCTTCAAAATAGACTCGCCCTGGCCGAAAACCCAAGTCTGCACATGGGCCACGAAGTTTCAATCGCACTGAATGTGCGCGCCCACACGTATTTTGTGGAAGAGCCACACTCAAGGGGCCAAAGAGCCGCATGTGGCTCGCGAGCCGTGGTTTGCTGACCACTGCCTTAGATCATTACTCTGGTCCATATTCTTATAATTCCTCACGTCTGTTATGGGGTGGGGTTGGAAAAGATGTCCAATCACACTGACTTCAAATTCTTCCGCTTGACTTTCTAGGTCTTCCATAGCCGGAACCCACTTTACCTAGCCAGTACTCCCCTACTCTAATTAGATCAAGTTCACTTCCCTGCAAATAGGTCATGCTCCTCACCACTTCAGTAGTCTGTCCTTGCAAGTGTTTCTCTCTCCTAAACTTTCCTATCTAACCATTCATCTATTTTTTAAATTCCTAAAATCTTTAGTCTAAATGTCTCATAATACCTATTAGTTTTAACCACTGTTTCAAGGATATTAGTGTTTATATTTACAAATTACACATATTTCTGTAAGAGTCCATTTATGGTTCTACAATATTCCCTACAGCAAATGAGCCAGTGTTGTCCAGGATAAATACTAATTTAACCCAGCATTCCATTTATTTATATAAACCTTCCCAATTTACAGTCTCTACCATTTGCTTGGATTACTTTGTTGAATTACCAATAAATAACTTCTTGTTTTTCAAACTTATGTCACCCTTTGGTTAAGTATAAAAAGTCACTGAGCCTCACAGGCTAGTCAGGATTGGTGAATGGTTCAACTTTATGCTCAATTTTTCCCTATTTTCAAACACAAATATTGCCTAGGTTGTAGTGAAGGGAGTTTGAAAAAAATCATTGTTTAGTTTTCCAAATGCAGAAATTTGTGAACCTAGAACTTCCAATTAAACGTTTACAACTTTGTTCATATGGCACAATCTGCCAATTTATTTTGTTAGGCTTACTTTTACCATCTTGCATTCTGATCTTACCAGATGTGTGTTAAACTTTTAAAATATTTATTCAAATGTTTCCAGAAACACTCGAAAGCAGTTTCAAAACCGAAGTTAAGAGAGGTGTCAAAGGATCTCGCGGAAAAAAAGTGAAGGGGTGGCCGCAGGGGCGGCTGCTTTCCGTCCGACCCGCCTCCTAGCGCCACGGAGACAGAGGCGGCGGCGGGATTCGCCCCAAATAAAGTTATGCAGAGTTAAAAAAAAAAAAAAAAAGGTGTCAGTAGAGTTACTAGTCGAAATTCTAAGGTTTCGTCCTTAAGTTCTTTTCAGCCGTTATGACAAACCAGCTCTCTACAAGCACTTCTCATTTTCACCTCAAAACAACGCGCCAAACTATTTAAATCGCAAAAGCGTGCTCACTCCCAGGGTCCGGGCAGTTTTTTATATCCACAATAAGGATTTCGTGCTTCCACTCCCCCGCACTGGTTTTGGGGGAGGAAGAACACTTATCAACCTTTTCTACGAAACTCCCGTTGGGAGGCCAGCGCGACGAACCTTTCCAGTGTGACGTCCGCTCGCCCACCCGCCCGCGCCAGCCAATCCCGGCGGGGAATGGCGCCCGCCGGCTCCGCCCGCAGGGGGCCCGGCCTGGGGGAACTCCGGAGTCTGTTACCGGAGTTGAGAAGTAACGTGGATGTAAACCCCCAGGCCGAACCAGTGGCGTGGCTGGAGCGTCTTTCTACAGGGAGACACACAAAGAAGGGAGCAGAAACGAAAGCCTCCAGGTGGAACGGCGGGCACAGAGAGGAAGGCGACTCAAGTTCCCATGATACTTCCGTGGGTCTTCATTGCGCATGCTCTCAGTGGGCCGCGGGGCGGGACTTCCGGCAGAACATTTCCGGTAGGGGCGGGGCTTCCGTTCGAGCCGGGGCGGAGGTACCGAGTCTGTAAATCCTAATTCCTCAAAACACGTGGCGAGCTTCTGGCAAAGGGATCACAGAACGGTTTGCGAGGCGGGCGACCTCGGAGAGGCAGAGAGTTGGGCCGCCTGTGTGGCTCCTGGCCCAGCTCAGGGCTAGCGACCTCGGGTGGCGCTGAAGCCCCGCGCGCTCCGTCATGGACTACCGGCAGCTGCTGATGAGTCGGGTAGTTCCCGGGCAGTTCGACGACGCGGACTCCTCCGACAGGTAGAAGGTGGTTAAATACTCCGACTTTGTTGGGTTTTTGCGCTCTCTGCCGCCGCGGGTCCTTGAGGGAATTAACATGGGTTTAGAGGGAGACTGGTGATTCATCACTCTAGGGCTCTCTTCCCAGCCTTGAGCGTCTTTCTCCATCCCAGCCCTGACTTCCCTCCCAGTTTATGGTAAGAGTTCACGAAAGCCACTTGTCAGTGGATTCTAGGGTGCCCAGGCTGGTTAGCATTGCTGAGAGGCCAAGTTGGGCATAGCGATTGGGAAACAGGTTTTTGCGCCTTAACTTCATTAAGCCTTTAAAAATGGTTTTTACTTTATGTTTACAGTAAGGCGGGCACCGGATATGTGCCAGGTTCTGTCCTCAGCCCTGGAGATAGTGATGAACAAGACAAACTGAGTCCCTGTCATTGAATTTTAATTCTACTTGAGAGGGGGAGAAGACAATTAAGTATAAAGAGGTATTTAAAAAAAAAAAACCCACATAATTATATATACTATGCAAATAATTTAAATCAGTTGATAGACTGAGTTATGATTTGGTTAAGGAGGGGTTAAGTTCAGATCTGACCTACAAGAATCAGTTAATTTCAGGAGGAGGAGAGAGAACAGCCATTCAGGAAGAGGGCACAATAAGTGAAATGGTGCTCCTGTGCTTAAGGCATGTAAGGGAAATGAATGCAACACGATTATAGTAATCAGTTATTAGTGAACGTTGTAGTTCATTATTAATAATTATGTATATCAGGATGTTGTAAAAAGTATTATAAGTTATGAAATTTTAATTAAAACGTTTCTTACCGTTATATTGGCTGGGCTGCAAAAATATTTGTTGTGGGTCACGTGCTGCCACAAGTTTGACATGCTTGATGTAGAGCACATGTGTCAAACACAAGGCCCGAGGGCCAAATTCGTCCCGCCAGGCCTTGCAATGTGGCCCGCACCGCGCTGTCATCACTGCACTCCGCTGCGTTTCCATCACAATGACAGTTTATGACTGTTCAGTAAACCATTCGGCCCGCGATTTAGGCTGGATTTTAGATTTTGGCCCCTTCTCTGATTGAGTTCGACACCCCTAATGTAGAGCCTTACAAGTGATGGTTAGGAATTGAGATATTCTAGGGCTTAGAAAGCCATACAGGGATGCTAGCAGGGGAATGGTGTAATCTGATTTATGACTTCAAGGAATCACTTTGATATAGAAGAAGATGGTTTTGAAATGCAGAGTGGAAGCAGTACAAAAGTAATAAAAATAATTCAGTTCAGAGATGATGGACATTTAGAGATAAGGTAATAGAGATATTTTGCAGATGGAAGTGATGATTTGGTGATAGATTAGATGTGGGATATGATGCAAGAGTTATTAAGGATAACTCCCACATATAGCAAAATGAAACTATTTTAGAATTTCAACAAAATGGTGTTTACTTTATGTTTATAGTATGACTTAAATTGCATGTAAGTTTTCTTAATTGTAGATTTTTTCAGTAAATATATGTTGATCACTTTCTATGTGTCAAATCTAGTGTTAGTTGGTAGGGATACATTGGTGTAAACTACTCTGACACTGAGATTGCATTCTAGCAGAGAAAACATTAAAAAATTAGACAAATGGCTGATCTGGCCTGGCGCAGTGGTTAATTAGCAACCTATGAACCAGGAGGTCACGGTTTCGATTCCAGGTCGGGGCACATGCCTGGGTTGTGGGCTTGATCCCCAAAACAAGGCTGCCGATCAGTGATTCTCATCATTGATATTTCTAACTCTCTCCCTTCCTCTCTGAAATAAATAAAAATATATTTTAAAAAATTAGACAAAAGATTTAGATTAGAATTGGGTAAGTAGTACAAAGGAGAAATGGGTGAATAATACAGAAAACTTCCCTGAGCAAGTGATAGTAAACTAATGCTGTAAGGGTAAGTAGGATTTAGCCAGAGAATTGAGAAAGACATTCCAGATATTTGTTTACACATAAGCATACAAAAGGTCCAAGGGAAGAAGTTAAGGGGTAATATCTATCACTAGATATTATAAAGGTAAACCAATGGATTCTGTCCACCACCTTCCTCTTTCCCTACCCCAGTGACTTTGGCAATTTCTAGAGACATTTTTGTTTGTCACAACTGGGGATAATGCTGCACTAGTGGCATCTGGTAGGAAGAGGCCAGAGATGCTGCCAACAATCCTATGAGGCACCAATCAATTTCCTACAACAAAGAATTGTTCAGCCAAGGTTGAAAAGCCCCAGTACTATTGAAGGTATAACTTTAACATGCCACTCTAGGTTATTAGCAAATGAAGGGGCAACTTATGGATTACTAGAGGCCCAGTGCACAAAATTTGTGCACTGATGGGGGATGTGCCTCAGCCCAGCCTGTACCCTCTTCAATCTGGGATATCCCTCTCACAATCTGGGACTGCTGGCTCCCAACTGCCTGCCTGCTTGCATGCTTGCCTGCCTGTTTGCTTCTAACTGCTTTTACCTGTCAGCCTGATCACCCCCAACTGCCCTCCCCTGCTGGCCTGATCTCGCCTCCAACTGCCCTCCTCTGCCAGCCTGGTCCACCCCCCTACCAACTGCCCTCCCCTGCTGGCCTGATGGTCCCCAACTACCCTCCCCTGCAAGCCTGGTTACCCCCCCCCCCCCAATTGCCCTCTTCTGCAGGCCTGGTTGGCTCCAACTGCCCTCCCCTGCCAGCCTGATCTCTTCCCCTAACTGCCATTCCCTGCCAGACTGAATACCCCTAACTGCCCTCCCCTGCTGGCCTGATCA